AAAGTGGAAGCTGAATGAGTATCCGCTTTAGCTGTGAATGTTTTGAATAAGCCCTTAATTCGCCGTTCCCATTAAAACCTTGTAACAACCCAATCTTGAGATAGAATTTGAATAATTCTAAATATATGGCATTACTGAGGAAACTGTTGTTTTCCTATTATTCATAGTCATTTAGTTCAGGCTTATAAAGATAATTTTGTTTAAGAACATTTGTCTGAGTTGACAGTCATCTTTAAATTTTAGCAAATACAATCGAGGAAAATAACTTCTTTGGTCCAATTGCACAACTGGACCACTGTAATAGGGTTCTAATGTTGCTGATGGATCAACTCTAAAAAGATAGCTGATTTACTGAGGAAATATGGCATCCGGTCAATGCGCAAGGAAAGAACAACACTTTCCTTGGCAATGTGCGAAAGTTTCCGACCGCAACAAGGTTTTGCGTTAGTGTGGTAGCGGAAACCTTTTAACCCATATATAAGTGGCAATCTGGACGTATCAAGCCTGCAAATGTTTTTGGGTACAAATCCAAACAGGTTCTCATAAGACACCAGATAGACTGATTTAAAGCCAACCTTGAGCACTATTTGGTAATTATGCAAGCTAGAGGAAGCTTTTAGAGATATATATTAACAAAACAACTAACCTTGGATATAATGCTAAGGCATAGGAAATTATGTGGAATTTGCCTGTGGCTATTGGATAAGATTAGCGAGAATGAGAAAGATAAGGAACAAAATGTGCCTCTGAGCAAGAAGAGACTTGATTAGTCTAGAATATGTTTAGCACTCACATCTCACGTGAATAACAAGCGTTGCATGCACAAAAGACGTGCAATGGAGCGCGACTAAATGCGCCAAAATTGCACGATAAAAAATACGAATGATTTAGGAGAGGATGCAGCTGTCTGGTCATAATTGCATCCATATCGCGCATCATATGCAGCTTCACTTTTTTCAAGCATATACGGAAAGCATAGAGTAGCCTATCAGGTCACGAAGTGCTCACTTTTTGGGCAAATTTGAACTATAACAAGTATATATGATTGTGCCCGGCCGTCTTTGTTGTCTATGTGTTTGGTGATTTATCGCAAAGCATGTTCTCCTATTCTGGTGGTGGGACAGATTCAAGCCTAGAGCGGATTCATCAGTGTCGTGGTACGGTTCGCTGAAGACTTATTTACTTAAATTTAAAATCACAGCTCCAAGCTAATTCTCCCTCGGCTTCCGACAAGGCCAATTTACGAGTTCCCTCTAATCGCCCCTTATAATGAAAGTAAGAGTACGCCAATTCCTAGGCTGTTTTCCTTTGGTACTATTCATATTCATATGGAGGCATTTGTATGGGTTTTTCATAGCAAAGCATTATTTTGATTCGCTTTCCTTTTTATCTCATTGCTCTACGACTTCAAACAGATGCAAGTCCATTCCAAGAGTATGGACCGTGTTGGTTTGTGACATGCTTAATTCATCTTGATTGCACATATTTCATTGATCCCATCACGCCATGACGAGCCACCTAGGCGTTTATCTGAATTCCTAGGACTTTGCGATTCTTTTAGTCTCACCTAATTTCTATTGATATTTTTGAGTGAATTTATCTTTTTCTTCCTTTTACAACAATTGGTAGGCTCAATCTGTCCCCACTTACAAGGTTATCAGATCGGACAGCTCATCAATGTTGTAGTCGATGCCGTCTTTGAAAATCATATTGTCTGTCGAGCTAGCCGGCCCATTCGGCGATTCACGCCATTTGCTATTCCAAACCGAAAACGTATTCGTTCCTTTTGTAAATCCGGATGTGCTGGCGCACCGAAAAGGCGACGCCTTATCGAGGCTCTAAAGTCAGTGATGGAAGTCAATGGCGAAGATGAATATAATATAAATGAAGATAGACAAGCTGAAGAGTATGAAAATAAAACGATAGATGCATCGGATCTTGGGGATGACAATGGTTCAAGTCAGTCCTCTAATTGGACTGCTCCGGCATTTTGCATCTCGGCTAATTTTCCTGATAACGCAAGCAAAGAGACCCCTGCTGTAGGCCAAGTTATGCCTGGTGTTATAGTATTACTCGACTTAGCCAAAGGTCAACTAGAAGTGGTTCTGACTGAATGGTTTGTCTCTGGCAGAGCAAATCATTTGAGTAAAAAGGTAAGACTTATGTTTCTTTCTTTTCATTCTTTAGACTAATATACAAAACTATTTATGATTTATGTGAAACCTGGGTGACTTTCCCAAAGTAATTTTTTTGGGAACTTAACAAAATATTACCTTCTTTACATGCAAAATGTTAAGTAATTATTTTCGCTTTTTTACAAGTAGGCTTTCAAGACCACATATGTGTGATGTATACACTTAATTTAGTATAGGGTGGTTGAGTGGAATTTTCCCACTTAATACATTTTGGTATGACAGAACAATCCCACTACCAGTCCCTCATCACCTTAAACGAAATAGGGTGAATATATCCCATGGCAAGTAATTAACTACTGGTGGACATTTTTGATTTCCCTTATTAACTATAAATAAGTATATCCCAATTCTCATCTGTGACGTTTAAGTTGTCCTGATTAATTGGGGAATACTCTTGGCATTTTCATTAAATATCGGGTCATCTTAATACATTGTGGGTGAATATTAGGTTATACACTTAATATCGTTATTCACTTAGTTTGGCTTGTCTGTGAATAAAATCACTATCTAGGATCATTTTTTTATTCTTCATTTCACACTTTTAGTTCAAATTTTTCACAGAAGCTTTTATTTAATCATTAAATTTCATTCCTTCATAAACATGTACCATTATTTCGTTTACCAAACATTTTCTTGTGTAATGGCTTTATTTTGGATGTACTCTCTGGTGTTATATTCTCCTCTAAACCTTATCATTTTTTATCTTGCTTATTGAATTATTTCAAACTGGTTGTAAAATATCGCTATAATTGTGTATAAAAAGACATTTGCTTTTATAGAACATTATTTCGATTTAATTTCTTTAAAATCGATTTTTTTGTTTATTTTATTTACCTTATATCTCTTCTTACTCGACACCTAACTCTTTTGGTTTTTTCGATTAATTCTTTGCTATCCCATTCATTTTGTACTTGTTAAAAAACTAATTTCTGTCTTCTGGCTGGCTAGTCTATTCCACCTAATACTGGTCAATCTGTTGCGTCGACCGTGCTGGCGATCCGGCCTCGTGATTTTGTCATCGTTGGCCTTAGAGGTCATGCTCTAGGTCGGCTTGGTGTGGTTCCAGCACGTCGCTGCTTTAACGAATTTCTCGAAAGCAACGCATGGTTCCCTGGTCAGAAAAATCATGTGACCATTCGACGGTTAGTTGATTGTGAATTCGTTCTATTGGCATCCTAATAAATGTACTTCGGCACATTGACACAACTTATTTGTCTACTAGACATACTAATGGACACAAACGATTTGAGTTTTCCTTGTTTGCTAGTCGATTGACGTTGTTTTCGCAAGTTAGTCATATTGGCAGGAAGGCTTAGAGGAACGCACCTTGTCCGGAATCCATATAATACATGATAAGTTCCAAAGTCGGACAGTGGACTTGATACATTTCCAGACGTTTCGCCTGCATCGTCAATAACCATTGTCATTTTTAAGA